CCCCAAAACCCCAAAACCCCAAAACCCCATTCTAGAATCACCAAATTGCATACATTTATTTCTTTAATGGAAAAGTCATGCTAAACTGACCCTCCTTCATCTTCTTCTTAATGAACGGAACTAAGAAGTTCTTGAAGGTACTTGACTTCCTAGTTGGTGGTGACCTTGGACCTTCAAGTTGAATCTCATCATTAAATCAACTTGAAGAGGATGAAAACTTATCATCCAAAGGATGAGCCAGTGCATCTTCAGACTGGGACCATTCTGTATTATCTTTAATAAAATCTTCGGCTCTATAGGAATATATTAATCAGTCCTTATAACCCTGTAAGAGCCTTTGAGGCCAGAATGGAACTTACTCTTCTCCAAAGTATATCTTAAAATTCTTGTTAGTTTCCTTTATCAAGGTGTTTTCTTTATTAATTTTAGTAAATTTAGACTTCTCCTTTGCACTTGGCTTCATGAATTTGACTAAGCTTCCAACCCCTCTTATTTTTGATTTCACTCTGCTTAGGATTGAGGGAGGAGGACATTGTGGTGGCTGTAAAGAGTTAGAAAAGAGGATTTGTGAGAAGAGATAAGAGTATTCTGAAAATGTAAGAGAATTTCTAAGAACTCTCTCTGAAATATTGGACAACTTGAATAAAACCTTATTACATGATCTTATATTTCATATATTATAATAATGAGGATAATTTAAAGCAATAGCCTAAATGTTAAATTTTTGTGCAAAAATGAACAAACTCTTTTCCCAGTGCATACATTTGTATCAACTACGTAGAAAGCATTGACTTTTAAATCATAATAACCTATCAATGTTTTCCCTATCAGTTCTAATGTAGGCTTAGCCCCAAAACATATTCTCTAAGCTGCAAGTTTATCAGGGGCTTTGCTTGGACTATTTTCTGCATTTTAAATTTGAGATTTTGAATAATCCATAATCTGAGAACTCCCCTTAACAATAAGAGTCATGTTCAGGGCAAATTGTCCAGAAAATAAACACAATATTGAATGAACAGCAGGCAAGGGGCTTCTTTGGTCTCTAAGAGAAATAATTCATGCTTCTTTTGACCCATACTTGATCCTAAAGAATCTTTGGATGTCTAATGTTTTGAGAATATCAACAAGAACAAAACAACTTATTTTTAATCGTTCTTTAAACAACTCTGAACCTTTTTACTCTCAAATAACAATTTTAGAGCAGATCTAATGTTGAGCTTATCTATGAGCTAGGGAAGCAGGAATCTATGAAGGAATATTATCTCCACTTTGCCTATTATATTATCGATAAACTCTTCTAAAATACTATTTCTTATAATTGATAAAGCACTGATAGCTTGGGCCATTATTCGTAGAGACCAGGATATTTCCTATGTCTAAAAGTATGAAATTATTTGAAAAGGTTTATATATTGGGATATCTTACAGGCTGCTTCTCTTTATTTTCTTCCTGGTGTTCAGATTTATTGAAGCCTAAAAGTAAACCAGACTGCTTACTCTGGTTTGACCTGAGATCATAGGAAGGGTGCTGACCTGAATAACTGCCTTCTTCATTTGTATAAGAGATTTCTTCTGAAGGGCCTAGAAGGAAACGATCTATCTCATAGAACGAATGCTGCCTGATTGTCTGTTGTCGATGAAGCTGCTCAAGGTCTAACTCAGGCTCAAAGGTTTCAAATAAGTGGTTCTCGTTGTCTTTGTCCATCCACAGAATATTATTTATAGTAGAATAAGCTATGTAGGAACATGTTCTCTCCTGGCTCAAACTTCATGTTGTTAAAGAAGTTAGAGTTATACATAAAAGCTGACTCCTCTCAAGACTCTGTTTCTTTACGTTCATGAGATTCTGGAGCTTCTTCAGAAAATTTTAAACGAGTCTTAGTTCTGGTTATTTCAAGCCTATCTTCATGGTTTCTTTGAAGAGTTTTTGCCCTGGTAATTTTCACTTTTGGAGCATTTGTGATAGATTCTTCATACTCACTGAACGATGTTATTCCTTTCCCTCTTAATAAACTTTTACGAAAAGGACTCTTAGGCTTTTTAGGGGATGCTTTCTTCTTTTTAGGCCTGAATAAAGGAGTATCTAGCTCTTTCTCTGAGAAATCTGAGTCCTCATCAATGTAATCCGAACTAATAATTGAGCTCAAATCATCACTATTTTTATGTAAATAGGACGATCTGGCTCCTATCATATCCTTCCTCTTCAAAGTTTCAGGGTTATTATACCGTTTAAGACGGAAGAAGTGTAACTTAATAAGATTCTTCCATCGTTTCCTATACAGGTGCTTATAAATGTCATTAATTTCTTCATTAAACAGACTTTCTATCATGAGTTTCATATTGTTGTTAATTCTAGTATGAATAGGAATATCTATGGCCCCCTTTTCCTCCAAGAAGATAGTTGTTCCACTCCTGACTATTATCTGAGCAATACTCTAGCATTTTGGGTTTCTCCCTCTTGAGCTTGGTTTTAGTGAGGATCTTTATAAGCCCAGTTTGGTAGATCAGTTCTTTTCTATTAAGGATCTCTTCAGTGATCCATTTAAAGGTGTTCTTGTTACAGCATCGAAGCTTATTTCCAGTATTGCCCCTTTATGATGGAGATTGTGGGGGATTTTACTGAGAGAGTGATGTCAGGGTCTTGGGAGCTGTAGCTACGGTATTGGTACGAGTTTTGGATGTCGACTTGGAAGTGGATCCTTTTTGAGTCTAGAGGGTTAGGTGGGTGGTACCTTTTGCGTTGCATTGGTTTAGGTAAGAGAGGGTGAAGCAAGCGTCGATCAAAGGGATTAGCTTTTTCGATATCTGTGACTCTTTTATTTCTTCTAAAAGTTCCTATAAATAGGAAAGATAAGAGATTGTAGGGTTAGTGGGAAGTGATGTCAAATAAATCTAAATGCTAAGAAATGTAATGAAAATTTCATTGGTTTTAATTCTATCATTTCTTACATCAAGATCTTCAGCATCAAGCAGCATCTCATGAATCATTGAGGCTTCAAATTTTGTCTGTTTCCTATTATACCTTCGGCTATCTAAATTACTCTTTGGTGAGAGAGCAAGGGGAATATAATCATAACATTTTTTCACAGTCTGTTTGTCAGGTCTTTTCAAGAAATCAAATATCACTTTAGGTTTACAACCACAGAAGCGTCTCTGAAACAAATATCCTTCATCCATATGCCACTGTCTATACAGCTTTTTTGGGTCAATAGAAGTAACAACATTCTTTCTGACAAAATTATCTGGTATATTCTCAGAAGTTCCATATTTTAACTTAAACATTATATCTTTTTCGTATTCCTTCATCTTCTTCTCATCCAAAAACACATTGTCGTCAAACTCTTCCAAATCAGATGGGACATCGCTCAGATCCTCTTTAAAGTCGTCTGATTCGTCTTCGTTAAAATCTCTAAAATGCAGCAGTCCGGCTGTGAGGTTATCGATTCTCTTCAGAGAGCCAGCAGCGAAGGAGAGGTCCAGTTCTGGCATTTTCTCTTGCTTCGGTTTCTCGACTAGCTATAATATGAAGATAAATTCTTACATGCTTGAATGCATAATTTATGCCATCAATTTTGATGTACTCTTTAGTCAAAGATTGAGCTTCTCCCTCCATATGTATAAATGATGAGGCTCCTCCAATGGATAAATTATCAGCGCTCTCCAATTCATCAGAGCCAAACATTTGGTCAAGGGAGAGTATATTAATTGGCTCATTGAGGTCTTGGAGCTGCTCATTGTTTAATTTAGGGGTGAGTCCATGGAACTCAATCTTTTCCTTATTGTTTGAATCAACTACTTTCTGAGTATATGTCTTAATTTCCTCCTTGAATTTTATATAAAATATGTTCTTCATTGTTCTTATAGTAGGGACAGGAATAAAAGGTAAGGGAGTAAACCCATACCGTAATTTCCTAATTATTACTGAAAGACTCTGCTGCACTGTTATAGAAATCTTTGGTGTAGACTTCTTCAGAAATATCCGCTTCTCAGGTGTCTTTGAAGCTTTCTTAGAGGATTTTTGATGATCGAAGGTTGCTCCTTTAAGCTCATCTGGGAAAATCTTTGATAATCTAAATTCTTTTTCTTCTTTCTGTCCATCACTAACTCTTCTCCTGCCAAACCTGGATGCTTTATTGTTACTTTTTAGATAAATATCCTGGAATTTAGATTTATGGCTTTGGTCTGACTTTTTCTCGCTATTTCTGGGTTTCTTCTTCTACAATACTCTGGCCAAAGGCTGACCTCTTAAGAGATGGCTTCTCTACAGCAACAGTCCTGTGTACATTCTTGCTCTTTTTGTAGAGACTTATAATCTCTTTTGCCTAAGACTTTGCTTCTTAATTGACTGGTCTGAGCCTGATCTTGAAAGTGGTTTCTGGATAGAGTTATTAGAGTCTTTTCTCTCAGGGGTGAAGATATTCTTAGTCGACATTTCAAAGTTTGGTGACCGAAACATATTCCCAGCTCTCAATGCATTCTGATGCATTGAGGGTGACTTTCTCTGGGTAACATCCCCTAGTGCCTGATGAATATTCGGCTGTAAAATCAGGCCGGTCTGAGAAGGCCTGATGCTAGGTCTCCTTTGAAAAATTTTATTAGCTACAGATTGCTTTGAAGTTAATTTAGACTGATCAGAGAGTTTACTAACTTGAGGGCTGGTACGAATTTTCTGCAAGTTCAAATCTAGAAGTTGAAATTAATTACTTACTAACTAATTTATCTTGATTGCCTTTATGAAGAGTCCTCTTCTTTATAACATTCTGGCTCTGAACATGTTTCTTAGTAGGCAGCTCATACTGAGGAAGCTCATCCATCTGTTCTTCAGATGAAGTCTCAAAAAGGTCATATTTCTTTGTAATTTTAGTCTTTTTCTTAGGTTTCCCTTTGCGTTTCGAAAAGATGATTCTCATTTGGAGATCAAGAAGGGAGCTATCCAGCTTGGTCTTCTTCTTTTCAACAAGCCTTTCTCTTCTGGATTCGAGATATTTGTCAACAGATTTAAGGACCTTCTGGGCCCTTTGCTTTGTCTTTCCTTTTAACTTTGACTTTCTCGAATGTTCCCGCTTGATGCTCTTAGAGATTTTAATCTTCTTTTCAAGAAACTTTACTTGGCAAAGAGGGATTAACTGAGCAGTCGTGAATTTGGAATCATTCTCTGAGGTCTCATTGATTCTTTGATAGGCATCTGTTGTTATTTTTCTAAGAAATCATTGGGGAAATTACCAAAATGAGTCATTTTGGGACAATCTCTCTGTTTCAAATTCGCTTTCTTTGATTGAGGCTCGGATTCTAGTGGTAATTGCAGATGCAGGTCTTGTGTATAACCTTGTATATGAAGATTTAGGCCTCTCTCTATTTATGGTCTTTTTCTTTCTTGTTATAGAATTTTGTCTTGGTTTTATTGTGGCAATAGAATCTGTGATTTCAATATTTGTGCTACTTTCTAATAGTATTTAGATATTGCGAAGATGTTTCAAATGATTTAGTGGTGGGAAACTTTTTAAGTTTCTTATTCATTTTCTTAAAAAGCATGTTGTACTCTCCCTTCTTCTCTTCAATCAAGCATTCTGTGGAGCTTTTATCATCGATTTTAGCCCTACTAACGATTCTATAAACAAGCATTAGGTAATTATCCAATTAAAAAACTAAATGAAAACTTTAATTCCTTCTCCACCCCTATAGAAAAATTTAAAGGGTATTCCTTCTATCACACTACTCTACGACTTAACTTATTTAGTATTTCTCTTAATCTGATGGAACAAGTCTCTTTTCTTCTGCTCTTTTCGATTCAAATACGGATCTAGACCCCCAAATTTACCTCTGAAACCCCCTATTACTCCTCTAACTTACCTCTAATCCTCCCAGGATGGCCTATCCCTTCGTTCTTGACAAACTTATTCTTAATATCTACCTTATCCATGGCTTTACGGGTTCTGAACCCGCTGCCAATGACACTCCGCTCTGAAGAGAGGGATCTTTTCATTTCAATTTTTATTAAATTTTTCGGGGTTTTGGGGTTTTGGGGTTTTGGGGTTTTGGGGTTTTGGGG